TAATGTCGGAACAGATAGTGTATATTTAACAAACACTTTGAAAACCCGTAATGATCATACATAAACAGCATAAAATCTAAATAAATTACTTATCGAGTTTTTTTTTATGATATCTACTAAGTGACGGGACGAACAAGTTGTGCGCCTGGTGGTAAGCGACACGCCTGTCCATAGCAGTTGCAGTGCCACTCAAAGCTTTAAATTATTAAATGCTATTTATATTAATTTATATTTAAATGCTATTAATTAATAAATGCTATTACAATTTAAATGAATATTTTGATGACAAATAAAAATAATAATATTATAATAAATTTGAATAATAAATAAATTTTATTTATATGCTATAAAGTTTCAAGTGACATAATTCTACTCATAATATGACGCATTTCTTTATTATTATATGACTTTTTTTTTAATATTATTATTTCATAAAGAACAATTTTAATTAATAATTGAAACATCGGCCTACCTCTGCTGTTATTGTTATCCCTAATAAGGGCTCATATGTGTAGCATTATTTTAAATTTAAGACATGTATACCATATGAATGCAATAAATATATTGAGTATTGAGTATTAAATCTTAAAGATCTGAGGGGCACTGCCACTGCGCAATTGGCAAATCTCATGTACCTGTAATTTCGCCAACACCCTTCTTACCCTTCAAAACTGGAACGCTGGCGCAGCTTACATTACTGCTTGGCGGCAGAAATAGGTAAGGTGACAGCACTTCCCTGGACGAACTCTTTCACAAGGAGGTCTACTGCTGAAATTTAAAAAATTGTGCTGCTAATGGTTTTAATTGGGGATCAGATGCTATTGGTCGATTTCTGTACAGAACGATTGACATCAAAACCATTGCATGTTATATAGGTATAAGGCAATACATGTCCTATCACAAATTCGTCGGTAGGTACACCAAAAACAGCACACAACAATTCGCTAAACGATAAGTGATGATAGCGAGTGCAGATCGCTCTGGCGGAAATGCATGGGTGGACGTGGACATCACCGGTCACTGACTTCACTTGTTTTTTAAACCTAAGTTATCCTTTTGCCCTTTCATGTTTTAAGCTTCGCGAGATAAGTACGCTACAGCATGATAATACAGAATATTGTTTAAATATGAAGGGCCAGGCATTGTTGCGCCGGCTACGTTACTTGGGTCAGTTCCATATCTTCGTTTAAGTATTACTTAATAGTGCCCACCTTATCAACCTTTGATACACGGGAAAGGCACTCTATTGCCTGTGCAATCAAGGCTCTACAGCGAGCTTATGACAATACCTCCAACTTTATTCTTTGGTCATTTTCGAAAAAAAAATAAAAAAACGGATTATGTGAAAAAAAAAGAATAACGAAACAAAAAACAAAATAAAAACAGAACAGGTCCAAAAATTAAGTTGGCATAGTGTTCATTGGAGGTCTCCATAAGTCAGGTCCTGACCCCAGGTCAACCCGTTGACGTCTCGGTTAAGCGCCCCCGGGTAAACGTACAGCAACCTTCCTATTGTCCACATTGTACAGGTGTTGCCATCTGCCACGTTAAGTAAAGAGCAAAATGCTGGCGCGGCAGTTTGCGCTCTCCTCAGATCAGGCGTAAATCATTCTGTTTCGGGCATACTGTCAAGCGTCTTATGTGGACCTGTTGCGTGTAGTACAGTTACACCACGCGATCGGTCAACACGTTACATTTGCAATCGCGCTGCAGCGCGTCTGGCATGTTTGCCCTGAACAAGGTGGACGAATTTATCGACCCGTGAAGAAAGCATCAATGATCTTTTACTGGAACACAAAACAAGTCCAGAAATTAATTATTTTTTGAAGATGCAAGTATCTACTCTAAATCTTTTAAATGTCGCCAATTTCAATTTTTATTTAATTTTATTATATATTTATTATATATATTTTGTAAACAAACAAATAACGTAGGAAATGTCGCGTATATTTGTTTGAAAAAACAAATATACGCGATTTAAATCCGGAAAAATAGTTTCATTTCCTATGTGTAACAAACGCGAAAACCTAAGAACTCGATAAACAAATAACGTGTCACACAATCTCATGAATTCCATGAATTACGAGTACCAGAGCAACAAACCCAGAATGTCCAGCCCAGACATATTTAGTTCGTTGTCTAAATTGATCCTATCGGAAATCGAATGTTAGACCTCTCCCTCAAGGACCCATAGTGCTTTTCATGCCAAAAACCACAGACACAAACTTCGTCAAACTTGAAGTTTATAGGTTTCCATTTTTGGTAGCAAGAGAGCTTTTTGAGAAAGGGTTCGTCCAGCTACAGCTGCCACCTTACCTATTTCTACCTCCAAGGAGTGATGTGAGCATTGCCGTGTTCCGGTTTTGAAGGGCGGGGATGCTGGTAATAATACAGGCACATGAAACTTGTCAACTTGTGATGGACGCGGTGGAAGTACCCGTAAGGTCTTTGCGATTTGAAGCTCTTAGTGGCATTGCAACTACTGTGCCAGGCACACAACTTGTTCATATTGTCATTAGGCATCATAAAGAAATACTGAAATCTTTCACCATAAAACACATGACTTTATTTATTATTTTTATTTAAACACTTTATTGTACCACAAAGTAACTTACAAATTTTCAGAAACAATTTAAATATTTGTGTACAAAGGCGAGCTTATCCCATAAAGACATTTCTTCCAAATAACCTTTGAAAATCTGAGAGGAAAGTTGGTTTTTGGGGTGGCACTAAAAATAGATAAGTAAAGAAATGGAATATGCTATACTCAATAAATACACAGATAAATTTAATAAATCAAATGTACATACGAATACATATATATTAAGTAATGTTGATACATTAATACATACAAAGTCTATAATAAAATGAATGTACAAAATAAAACTATAAATAAATATATCAAATGTAAATAAATATTTCAAAAGCTCTAACATGTGGAGTTTTAACAATCCCAAAACTTCAAAAAACTTCAAAAAGAGCACCCTTGAAAACCCGAACCGAAGGCGACTGTCTGACCTCGACCGGGAGAAAGTTCCACGTTCGGGCAGCATTTACTGTGAACGAGTTCGAATATTTTTGGGAACTGTGTTGTGGAAGGATGAGGGACAAATTGGTGCCAGAAAGCAGGCGGTCATCCATAGCCTGACGGTATTAAAAACGCTCACGTAGATAGCTAGGTGAAGTGGGATGGAACAGGATTTTATAGAGGAAGCATAAAATGTGAGCATTTCTACGTAAACGAATAGGTTCAACTCATCTCCATCTTCTTCATCTTCAACTCATCTCTAAACTTGGAAAAGTGGTCGTACTTTTTCATTCCAAACACAAATCTGATACATTGATTAAGCAGCCGCTCCAACTTATTAAGGTCCTCCGAAAGATCAAGATAGGAGACGTCACCATAGTCGTAGTAGGAAAAAGAAGAGTGTGTATGAGCATAAATTTGGTAGACAGAGGAAGAAAGTACTGCATCCGCTTGAGGGAATGAAGTGATGCAAAGATTTTACACTTACATCGGCGACATGCTCCGACCAAGAAAGTGTCTGATCCATTATGTTAGAAACAAAAGTTTTAGGCTAAATGAGAATCCAACCGGGGCAAAAAGTTGATTCCCTAATTTGTAAGTCAATGTTCCCTACCGAAGCGCAGAAGCCTTACTTATTTTTCTTTTTTCAATTCTGCTGATCTTTGACATCAGTTATTCCAGATCACAAATCGAAATTCAAAATGTTGCCTTTTTTATTTATTCGGGTCAACAACAGTTTACATTTACAAGAGTTACAATTCTGGAATTATACTAATTTAGTAAAATTAATGACAATTAACCACATTTTACAATTCCAAAAATTAAAAGGGAAAGTTTCGTCCAAGCAACTGAATAATTGTGTGCCTGTGTCTATCCCTTTGAAGCGAGACCGTTTGTGTGGCGTGTACAATCAATTATGAGATAAATATGCAATGAATGTACAAAACGTACAATATCCAAATAATAATGAAGAATATATAAAATATACTACAAATGAAAATGAAATTATAAAGTCTAAAAATAATATATAATGTAATATAATACAGTATAGTGTAGTGTGGTGTAGTGTAGAATTTTATTTTAATAACGATCATATAAGATAATAATGATAATATTAATATTTTAATAACGATTTTCAGTCGTAGCTCAAGTATGGCCAATTTTGACAAATCTCGAACTACTTTCAGGGTGTATGATTATGATTGAGTTTGATTTCAAGCACTGGAAATACCACCCTAATGGCAAGGACTTGAGTATGATTTTCAGTGCTCACTGCAATAGTCAAGTCCTGACTTGAGTATTGAGTAGAGTTCTGGAATACGACCCTCAAACTACTGATTACTTTTGCAACGTAGTTCGTACTTGAGTTTCGAGCAATACTGCAGAATACATGCGTCGTAGATATCGCCCACAGATCAAACAAATACGTATCGCCCAGCGTCCTAAATCCATTCCTTTAAGGACCAAATTTTTACCAGCAATTGAGGTAAATCACTTGGAAAAATGTTGTCCCATTGAGGTGGCAGATTCACGCATCATCTCAGAAAGGTGTTGTACATAAAAATATATATTTCTCTCTCTCTATTTCTGGAACAGACGATCAGCCTCCATCTGTTTCTGTCAGTTCAGTGCATGTGTTACGACCGTGTAAAACTTGGAGGACGATAAGGCTTTTACTTGATCGGTCCATTTTGTTGGTGTACGACCTTGTAGTCGTTAATGAAATGGAACAGAATTAGTTTTAAGTGAACTAATGTCAAGACCTCTGAATATTGTACGACTACGTTACTTACACCGATACAGTATCTCGGGTCAGAGGCGCATTCAACTAATATAATAATCTCGTAAATAACTAGCTATATTTAAACGTTACATCAATAGAATTTGTTTGTAGTTGTTCCTAAGGTTGTCATAGAAACCTTCATCATTGCCTTGGCTTAACAAGAAGGTAATTGTAGCTTTTTATTTACAGGTCAACAACCACGGATTAGTATCTTTCAGGGCCGAAATCCCGACGTTTATGAACGCAGAATTTCCTCTGCCGTACCCTTCAATAGCCGCCTTTTACTCTAATGTGGACACTACACAAAGTGGAAACATTTACTACAGGGAATCAACTGAGCCGCATGATCTGCTTAAAGCAGAAGAAAGTGTCCAAAATAATTTTCACGACTACTATGACTTTAAACCTACGAGTGTATTCGTTGCTACTTGGATTGAGGTGTCGTACTCAGAGCGACCTGACCGCAAGAACAGTTTCCAAATAGCCGTGATTAGTAACGGAAACGAGAGTTTCGTAGAGCTTCTTTACCCAGAAAAAGAAATTCAATGGATACAGAGAGAGACTCGTACATCCAGTTTTCCTGACGCAAAAGCGCAAGCCGGATTCATTGCTGAGGACGGTCGCGTATTCACTTTGAGAGGCTCGGGAAGTCATCAGATTCGCAATGTTGTGTCGTAAGTTTCTTTAAAACTGTCTAATTTGATCCAATTTTTAATCAAGAAATTCTACAAGCCTATTTTCATTTCAGATGGTCAAACACTCATGAGCCTGGCAAATACGTTTACCGAGTTGGTAACATACCTATGGATGGTAATGTTGTTGATCCTGATCAGTTCAACCAGAGTGAAATCGAAATAGAAGAGGAATCTAAAACATGTGCTCAAAGTGGTCCCAGTGTTTGCCACATGCAAGCACGATGCGTCGACTACCAGGCCGGAATCTGCTGCCAGTGTAACGAAGGATTTTATGGAAATGGAAAATCCTGCATTAAAGACGATGCGCCGCTTAGAGTTCATGGAAAGCTAAATGGCATTATTAACGATATCAATTTAGATGACGTCGATATTCAAGCATATGTAGTGGTCGCAGATGGACGTGCCTACACTGCTTTATCTCGAAGTCCACCGACACTAGGAAGCAGTCTGCAGTTTTTGAATGTCTTAGGTGGTGTCATAGGCTGGCTCTTTGCTAAACCTGTAAGCACCGCCAAGAATGGTTACCAATTGACTGGAGCGTTGTTCAATCACACAGCAGACATTTTTTTCCCAAGCACCGGCGATAGAGTAACAGTAAACCAAGAATACCAAGGTCACGACGTATTCGATCAAGTTATTCTTGACGCCGATATTAGAGGAACAGTTCCAGTCATTTTAAGTGGCGCTAAATTGGAATTAACAGAATACGAAGAGCAATACAGTCTTATCGAATCCGGACTTATACGTTCAGAGTCCACGTGTACTTTTACAAATAAACTTACAGGTCAGCGATACGAACAGAAAGTATCGCAAATATTTACATTTAACGCTTGCAAATTTGCTCCTCCAACTGACGAAGACTCAACCCCGTTAACATTAAAAGTTGCAAAAACTTATTTAGGTTACGAAGTCAAAGAAAATATTGTCAGATATGGAATGAGCAATAAGATCACTCCGCTCGGTCAAGAAGATCCATGTATACAGGGCAGAAACTCCTGTGGAGAGCACAGCGTTTGTGTTGTACAAGGAGATTCTTTCCGATGTGCGTGTCAATCAGGTTTTACCCAAATTCAGGTAGACTCTAGAGGAGGGTGCATTGATATCGATGAATGCGCGGCAGGAGTACACAATTGCGATAACAATGCAATTTGTTACAACCATGAAGGTGGATTTCAGTGCAGATGCCTCCCAGGTTTCGAAGGAGATGGTGTTAATTGCAGAGTAGTTTCTCAATGCAGAGGCAAAACATGTGCTCCCAATGCGCAGTGCATTGAAAACTATGCTGGAGCAACCTGCGTCTGTAATCCGAATTATGTGGGAGATGGGAACACTTGTTTGCCCGAAACAACATCACAACAAAACAATCAGCACCCGTGTAATCAATGTTCTCCTTTCGCTTCGTGCTCTTTCGAGCAAGAAAGTAACGCTTTTCGATGTCAATGTAACGACGGTTACACTGGAGATGGCTATTACTGTGAACAAGACGATTATTCTTCGACGCCAGCACCATTGGTACAAATCACTACACCTTATGCTACTCCTTCCACACTCGAAGAAGATTACAATGAAACGTTTGTGCTTCCTAACTGTCTATCCTACCCATGCACTTGCCCTCCTGGGTATTCAAGTTACATAGACGAAAGAAACAACGATCTATGTCGCCTTGATGATCGGACCAGACCTGATAACAGCTCAAGTAATTACTGAGATTATTTACGTACTTTTCAATATATGTATAGTATCTTATTACTCAGTTATGTTAAAAGTCCTTTTAGGTCTTGGCTGCAATAATATAAAAAATATTGAATTACCTACCACGACTATTTCTAAATAACTAAAACAAAGTTTTATATTTTCAGTGAATTGTGAATCTGACACCCAATGCCCGCCTAATGCAGTATGTCAGTTTTCGCCAACGTCTCCATTCGGCACAGGACATTGCGAATGTCCGGAAGGTTACGACGGTGACGCATACGAGTGCATAGAGCGCACGGGACCTACCTGCTCCTGTGGACCGAATGCCCACTGCATAGAGACGGCGACAGGAGAACTCTGCGTCTGTAATCGCGGATATCATGGCGACGGTTACACTTGCCAACCCAGCTCCAGCTGCAGTAGCAACTCCGACTGTGAATTCCACGCAGAGTGCCGTCCAGATACCAGCGGAGATAACGTCTGCCAGTGTATCGAAGGATACATAAAAGATTTCAACGATGCTTGCATTCCTGATGTACAGTTATGCAACGAAAGAATTTGTGCTGAACATGCTTCTTGCTTATTTGACGAGAATCTTGGCATTGGCTACTGCCACTGTGATGCCGGGTACCAAGGTGACGGGATAACGCAGTGTATACTTCCTGGCAATACCTGCGATGTTATCAACAACTGCCATCCTAACGCCGAATGTTCTTTTGTTGACAACGCTTATATGTGTGTCTGTAATGAAGGGTTCCTCGGAGACGGTTATCAATGCACTCTTGAACCGAACTGCAGAAATATACCGAATTTGTGCGATCTACATGCTTCATGTCTTAAACAAAGCGGTGGATATGCCTGTGAATGTAATACAGGTTACAATGGTAATGGAAGTTATTGTGTCTTGAATCCTCGTCAAGCAGGCAACTTCCTTGTTGTAACCGATGGCTCTTCAGTGAACCGAGTGCCATTGAGAGGTGGTCCGCGCGATTTCTCAACTCCGATAAACAGTCTGCCCTATCAGATCGCCGTGGGCGTAGACGCGGACTGCGAAAGTGGTAGTATATATTGGGGAGACGTTGCGGACTTTGCCATTAAAAAAACGGCTTATGATGGTTCTGGATTTGAAAAATTTTTATCAGATGGTAAGATTTTGAAAAACTAAGAATACTATATTATTGTATATAGCAAGTGCCTTCTAATATTTTGGTATATAATATTTACCATTATTTCAGGAGTTAAAGCCCCGGAAGGCCTATCCGTCGATTGGTCTGCACGTAACATTTTCTGGACGGATTCTAAGAAATTGACTATAGAAGTTGCCAATCTTGACACAAAGTTGAGAAAGGTTCTTTTTGCGAACGAAGGCATTTTCAACCCCAGAGGCATTGTAGTCCATCCACAGCGCGGGTAAGTACTCATTAATAGAAATTCCAATGACATACAAACCAGATTGATGTACTTACAAATTGTAAACCTTTTGTAGAAAAATCTTCTGGTCTGACTGGTATCGCAAAGCGCCTAAAATTGAATGGGCAAACATGGATGGAACGCAACGAGGTATTTTCATCGACAAATCAGACCTGGGACTACCCAATTCTCTGGCTATTGATTGGCAACGAGATCGTCTATGCTACACGGACGCTGGTTTATTTGCTATCAAGTGTGTCAACATTGACACTCTAGAGAAAGAAGTAATTGCGGAAGGGCTGCCTTACCCTTTCGGTCTCACCATCAAAGAAGACAAGTTCTATTGGACTGATTGGAAGACCAAACCGTAAGTTCTTAAGAGTTCTTAGCATGTTAATATAAAATAAATCACATCATTATGTCAACGACGAAAACTCCACATGGTCTCTTACGGTATTCAAGAAATTTCCAGAAGAAAACATGATATTGATGCCATTAGCTTTTACCTGGCCAACATTGAGGTTTAACTTTTCAGCCTATGATAAACTTCTTCCAAAAAATCATAATTACTCTACTGCTTGAATATACTTTAGTTAACAAAATTGTCTTAATATTTTTAGAATCTAATCCATCGCAGGTTAAGTCGTCTTTCGTAATTTTAATTTTAATTTTCCCAGACAACGGATCGAGTTCCTCGATATCCGAACGCAAGAACGGGGACAAATCGCGATAACAACAGCGTCCCGTAAATTATACGGGCTGACAGTAGCTCCACAAGAATGCCCTACAGGTGGCAACGTATGTCAATACCGCAATGGAAATTGTGAACCGAACCGTCTGTGCCTGCCGGACGGACGAGGAGGACGATCTTGCACACCAGCAGACGCTAACGCACCGAATGACTATTTTAATTTAATATAAAAGCTTATCGATCACGATAATAAAGGTGACATCTGTAACCAACATCTGAAGATACACATTCATTCGATTACAAAACATCAGACTATTTTGCAGACCATGACAATAGAGATAATTTTTAGTTACCTAGTGGTAAGAGTTTAATACGTGCAGACAGCTCGATTACAACTCATACTGGAGAACAACGATAAAAAAACATAGTAAGCTGGCCTTGCTCTATGAACAAATCTGTATAGCAGGAACATCGAGTACATAACCAGAAACAGAGACGAAATAAGGACCATCCATCCCTGGCAACTCATCAGGCAAATGGGTCTTATATCACTTTTAAATATCAACTCTAAATCAAATAATCACAAAACAGAAAGCTGTAATAGTACAGCGCCAACCACTGACCTGTGTGTACGTCTCCGTATATTCCAAAAATATTCAGTGTTTATTGTAATAAAGACAATACTCTAACAACACGTTTTCCTCACATCAACGAATGATGTGGGAAAAACGGCAAAACATTTAGTTACAAAACAAACGGAATCACATTTCATCGGTAATCAAATGTTAAATATGTAATTTTTAAATTTTCGTCCACTATAGCAAAACTCAAGTCAAGTGACACCCGTCAATTCTTTCGAATTCGGGCTAGCCAATCGGAACGCAGTTGTCACCGGAATGATTTGGCAGAATAGTTATCAAACAAATTAAATGACATTACGTCTCTATTGCTGGTTATATACTCGATGAGCAGGAAGAAGGACACGCGACTCAGGGTAAATTATTACATTATTTTTGCATAAACCACGTCAAGTAATGCAAAATATTACTTGGACCGATAAATTACGAACAGTGCAAGGTCATGTTACTTTGGTCTTTCTTATTCTTTCCGTCTCCAGTATGAGCCTTGAATTAGCTTAATACGGCCTGTACGTATTAAATTCTTTCTATTACTTAAAAAAAAATTGTCGATTATTGTATTCTACAATAAGAGAATTAGCTTCCACATAGTGTATTATTAGAGTAAATCAAAAGAATGATGCGTGTGGTATCTTCATAATATTCTCTCCATCAAACGAACTATTACAATATCATTTTTAATAAAGACGCTAATATAAAAGTGTGTATCTCCAAAAACTTAATGAGTAATTTCTAACTTAAGCTTATTTGAATACCACGTTTTTGTGGTGATTTTTAATATAATACTAAATACATAAATAACTGTTCAATGTGTGTAACTATATATAAATATCACAGAATGTGTCAATCAGTGCTCTATTAGATGAGACACTCTACTACTCTATTACTGCCGTCATAAGTTGTAAGAGCACTTGTAACAGAAACTCAAATCATGAAAATAATGTTTAAAGATATTAAATAAAAAAATATCCACTTTTCTCTTACGGTAACTTGATCATCCCCACCTGAGTACCCTGACCCTATCCGCCAAGGAAAAAATAAAAATATACAATAATACGTAACATTTATTTTTCAATATCACATGCGCCCTTTCAACTAACGGCGGCAGATTCGGGCATTTACACCAACACTGGTTTTGGGCACTAGTCCTATAGGAAACCCGTGGCCTCCTCTATTAAAATAGGGCATTTATACCATAGCCTTAACACTGGCCCGTACAATAATTTTCACATTTTTTTATAATTTTTGTGAATCTTCGATAAGTAAGGAAAATATTTATTTGAATAAAAATAATGCACTATAAGTTACCAAATTTTTATTGTTTTAAAAATAAATTTACATTTACACAAATTCTTATTATCTAAATAATAAAGATTCATATTGATTGTTACACAGACAGTCTTCGATAACATTTAAGTTAAGTGAAAAATATCATTAATGCACTTCGAACTATGTAATTTATTGATACCAAAGCAATAATAAATATTTATTATATATTTTTGTTTTAATATAATTTTAATCGACTGTTCAATGAAAGGCGAATCAATCATCCTGCAGCCAGAAATAAGTTTGTTCGTCCCGTCACGTAATATTATAACAAAAAATATTAGGTGCTAATAAATTGAGTACAGATAATTTTAGAGTTGTATGTTGTTGATCTGAAGGATCAATTTAAAATAAAATTCAAAAACTATTTATATTTAAATTTTACTTTAACGTAAATAAAACGAATTTATTCTATCCATACACAGTTTCTTATTTAGATTCAACGGTGGTAACAGCTCCGGTGCTTATCTGGAAAATAGGAAGGGTCCTGAGAACTGGATGAAGTCCGTAACAACCCTGTCCATGGGCTAATCTGGGGTCAGGGCCTGACCTTGTAAGGTCAGCGTGCTTGCACAGGTTATAGTGTCCTTGCCGTATAACCAAGAGGTTGATAGGGAGGGTCACTATAATCAAAACTTGAATAGAAGTAATGGGACTACCAATCTAATCTAAAGAAATTTGTTGAAAAACTAATATAGACTTATTATATTCATCATTTATAATGAGGTAAATAATTAACTCTAAAACATTCCGTACTTAATTTGCTTAGCACCCTGTATGCCTACATGAACTCTACCCAATATTTCAATATTAATAAGTCACGACAGACGACCAAACAAGGGAAATTCATCTAAGGTCTTTAATATAAGATACGACTAATTTTTAATAACACATTTTACGATTGTCGGTACTTTGCACTTGAGCCAATTGTCAAGAAGTTCACCATTAATAAAAGTCAAAAAAAATATGGACAACATAATCTCTTCTAAATTTCGTTCACGATTTTTATCATATACATCTTGAAAGCAAATATGAAATTGGTTTTTAATAAATTTTTTTCATGGCCTTTGATTCAAGTCGTTCAATCGAAATATTTGAAATAATAAACTTAGAAAGTAATACCTTTAATATAGCCAGTATGACAGCTTTGTATCCCGCAATAGATATTCACCTCAATTTGAACAATTTTTTAAGACATCAACTTTATGACAAAATAGTTATCTCTAATAGAGGGAAATGGAAATATGACGCTAAGCTAATATCCCAAAGAGTAGCATTTTAATCAATGCCATTAATATGTACAGAATAATTTATAAACTAAACAAAAGCGCCTTGAATCGCGATTTAAAAAGCTTAAGAAAATAACCCTTATGGTATCATTTTCAGAATAAATTATTACACATAAATTTAACAAGTGAAATTATGCAATGTGTTTAACAAAGTAACAGATTTTGAGTATAAGCCTACATTTGTATGTATAAAGCATAACAGACTGTCCTATGGCTACACTCTGCGCTGAGTTGTAGACCATGGCCACACCCCATGCACTCAAAGAAGCGTGCTCTGTACTCTATAGCAGATAATTTTCGTCTAGATGTACCTTAATCAATCATATTTGAGAGATGTAGTATGCTCTAGCTAAAGCACGATACACACTGTATGAACTTTGTTCTTTGATTGCGTGATAAAATCTACCAACGGAAACCAATGAAACTACTTTGAAATTTTGTTTTAATCAAATTATTATTGTAAATAGCTGAATAAAGGTTTCTTTCTAACTAAGTAAGAAAATATTGTCATTCCCCGCATTTCAATTATTAAGGAACAGAAAGTGTGTTCATCATGCTTTGGCCACTTGAATTGAGATCGGTAAAATAAATAACCGAATATTACTGGTGTGACATAGAGCCAGGCGTGGTCACTTCTAGGGAGAGGTAGGGTATGGCCACACTGTACGTAGTATCAATACTATTCTGAGGTGAAACTTACACTAGCTTAACCCCAGAGGTCCTCGGCGCGTCCGAACTTGAACACAAGTGAAGCAGCGAAGATGAAGGCGTTCTGTAGGAACAGGCTTACCCCTGTCCAAGTGAAGTGCTGATCTGGAAATAAATACGATACGATGTGAGAAAATAATAAAGACTGCAACAATGAGTTTACAATTAATGTAAGTGCAGACTAAGTCGAAAATCGGCGATGCTGATCATTGTAATTACACCAGTTTTATTTTATTGCACTACTGGAATTCGATGACCTCGGTGGTCGAGTAGCTCGCACACCGGTTGTCATGGTGTCGCCGTCTCTGAAGACCCGTATTCGATACCTGGCCGATTGTCTCGGGTCTGGATGTTTGTGGTGCCGTCGTTGTTTCGATTTCCATATCACAAGTGTTTTACTTACTTACTTCGGGATCAAAGCAACATATGTGATGTTGTCTAATATTTATTTATTATTACACTGATTCATAATATACATAAATTTAGGTACCTATATGTTATGTACTTTGAATTTAGACACCATTTTAACAATTGTTTAATAAGGAATACAGAAATCAATTTACATCGAAAGGACCTGGACGCCCTGGACGGCCTACGCGCGTGACGTGATAACTTAAGGGATGATCAGGGGACTGAGGTAGCGGGCACTTATCACATGTGTAAATAACACTTTTACATAGAACTGAAGTAATGAAAATAACATATTTTTTTTACTGAAGCTAACAGTATAGAATCAGTGCATATACCATCTTAAAAGTAAGTTTGTATACATTACATATTCCATTAAATTACAAAACATTCTTACAAGAAGTGATATGAAATTGGGTATATATTATTTTGTAATAACAGGATTAAAGTCATAGAAATATATAGACATTTATTCAGAATGGCACCTGAATATCCAATCACTGCTTATGATGCTTCTCACTCAGCTGGTGGTACCTTTTCAGCTACCATAGAATAACGTGTGTACAACTGCAACACGTCCAGTGATGCATGAACCTTACCCTCAGGTTTATTATTAGGATTGTTGACATAGTTGGCGAAGAGGATCCAGCAGGCAGCGATGAGAGATGCGAAGCCAACAACGAAGCCTAGGAACAGCCAGAGTCGCGCTCCGCGGGGTCCCATACAACCGCCTGTGTACGTCTCACCACGCACCTGGACAAATTATGCCAAATGTCTATAGGAGCTTGGTTAGTCATTCCTTTTGTGCAGTAACAATACAGTTTATTGATACTTATTATAATACAAATTTTACTAAATATAACTGTACCATATTAGGTTTTATGATATCATAAACTTATGATAGATTTAATTCAATTTAAACTTGTAATAATAAACTTTATTTATATTTAAACATAAAGGAGTAGGAGCTGACTTTGCTAGTCAGTTCACAATGCAATGTTATCAATCACATTGATTCAGTTTCTCTCTAAGATGCTGGATCTACACTCCCTGTGCTCCTGTCGTACATATTTTACTCAGTCATTTTGTAGATGTTTGTTTTGTTCTTTGTTTGTTCATTTATCTTTGTTTATAAATGTAAACAATAAATTTAAAGTACTCACTTGTGCATTTGAGACTGAGTTGACCATAATAAGTGACAGAGTGGCAAACACACCGCACACATGAGCTGCTTTGGGCAAATCACCATGCACAGCTGATGAATCAATGATGAACCACCATCCTGTAAAGAACTGAACAACAACAAATAGTCTATAAATTACTAGGTATATTAAAGAATTCTACATCCTAAATGTTATTAGCAGGCCGATATTTTATTATTAAGCCCCAATAGTCTTCTATAGACCATTTCAGAGAGGAATGTAGGCCAAAGATTATGGCACTTAACAAACGTTACAAAATCCCTGGTAAAATATAAACATAATTTTAATTCTGTAATAACATTTATATAAATCTCAGTTGTCTGCTAATAAAAGAGTTGCTACCAATTTAAATCTCTTTGGTACACTTTAATGGGTGATGATAGAGGCAGTATGGGCTCAACTGGCAACACACCACCTAACTATTGTGTGCGATTCGCTCTGGACCTTTTGGAGGGAAAAGTGTCGTTTTTATTTTGACTTTCAATTATTTTGTGAAATCTAGTTTAAAGTGGAATAGGATAGTGCTATTGTGCCTTAATCGAAGATTAAAACGCGAAATTATACGAATCTCGAACTAAAATACCCGTATCGGCCCGTCTCAAAATTTCAACTACCCTCTGCATGTATTTAGTGGCAAAATTTTCAAGTTCTTTTTTCAAATATCCAAAATTTTATATTTCAAAAAACTATTATCATCCTAAATTCGAAACCTCACAGAGACTCCTCCCCACACCCTCGCTCATAGCCCTTTGATTATATTTCAATATCAACTATTCTAAAGTCCTACATTCAAGTTGTGAAAATGTAATATATTTCTTATATTATTGAAGTTTTTCAAGAATTTTTATTTCAATGTAAAGTAGGCGGTAAATAAACAGACCAACCACGTGAAGGTAAGTGGACATCCTCTATCATGGACATTTACAACACCAGAGAAGCTACCTAGCTGTCTTTGAAAGTCTTGGCATGACACTGCTGCAGTAAGGTTCTACGACATTACATTGCCTACTTCTTTTGCTAATCTTTATCCATTAACTTACACATCATTGTTTGATAAAAGAATGTCATCAAAAAATTCAAGTAATTTATAGTAAACTGATTATTAGAAACCAATATTTCCTGCAAAACATTGCCTATTCGAAGGCAGACTAAGCCTCGTCATTGCACAAAGCAAAGGATATGTTGAAATACTCATTTTGTAGTTGACATGAACTGTCCAACATTTCCTAAATGCTTTGGAATATAATTCATGAAGGTATATCGTATGATAAACAATCCTTATCAAATAAAGAAGAAAAATAAGTAGTGATTCATCATCAAAACACAAGAGTACAAACCAAAATGCCAGCAAATATAGACGACACAATATTCCGTTTCTCGCCACTCTCAAACCACACACAGCTGGGCATCGTAACGTTTTCGAAACAATTCATGTTTAATAGAGATTCACGCCGCGATTAGGCTCAGTATTTTTCTATTTTTTCAATGAAACGAAATGTGATTGTAAATAAAAGCCTCAAACTCTAATCCGGTGACAATGGCGTTTTGAAATTTTGTGTTACCAACTTCTACCATTCGTTGATAAAAACTACCATCGCGAAAATTACCATTTTTTTACTGTACAAATATTACCAAACAAAACTACCAGTTACTTTATGTTATGGTGCCTTAAAATTAAACGCTTGTAGCACAAACTAATAAGAGATACTACGGCTTGTAGAGCACTGTAGTGGCGCAACTGTGGCCGCGCGTCTGTAGCGCTACAGTCATTTTAGATAATACAAACATTGGCGCTGCAACCAAATATTGTATGGAAATTAGTAGAGACGCGGCTGTAGCGGTTCTATAAGCGAATAATCTAAATAAAAAATAGTAGATTATACAACAAATGCATAAAACGTGTCATTACCCGAAACGACTATACCCGGTCGAGAGTAAAAAGAGTTTATGAACGAGTTTTACACTCTGCTTTTCACTTCGATTGCAAGGAAATTAAACAGCAATATTACAAATAAACGATTATTTAATTGAAATTGAATGTAAAATTATAACAATTAGACATATTTAATGTGATGTTTTTTTTATTTTATGCACTAGAGCATAAAATCATATTTTATGCACTAGAGCCATTGACTTACAATTATATTGACGTCGGGTCCGCGCTAAAAAGTGTCCGCACTTGTAAGGCGCTAAAATCGTATACAGAGCGCGACACTCCGCTTTAGTCTTCATTTGTTCTACGGACAGCGCGATACTGCGATGACATAACAATTTAAATTTCGAATAGGTTGACTTGGGACATTTTTTTCGTGGTTTTTTGTATTAGACCCGTCGTCCATTTATTTGTAAGTCAATGACTAGAGCATAAAACCCTATTTTATGCAGCCTATACCCAGCGTAAATACGAACTTTAAGAGCATAAGTGAAAATTTAATTTGAAGGCGCCTTAGACAACCGTCTTTTATTTTTTTTATGGAATTACTTAGTGCCATCACCACCAGCACGGGGCGGTCGCGTCGGCGCCATCGGGGCCCCCCGCGGCCCCCGTGTCCAAGAAGTGCAGGTTCTAGTTCTGAGTTTCGTTATTATTATTATTTTTGTCAAGCAGTTCACGCAAGGTAAAATAAATCATAAACTGGTTATCTTTTCACAAAACATTTATTAACTATACTTCAAACACGTCCACATCCCAATTCATTAAAACCTAACGTGGGTTTGTATCCCGCACCCATACCAGTACCTGGTTCAATGCCAATATTACCGTTACCGCATTCATAAAACGCTGACGCTCCTCCAGCATTTGGGACAGTACCCTCTACTACTACCGCACTATAAAACGGCATGGTTCCTGTGACGTCAATGTATCCATCTATTATCAGGTTGTCAGAGGATATGGAAACTTCTATTGGTGCTGATGGTACAACCATGGGAACACCTCGATTTCCCGCGAATGGTGCAGAAGCCCATAGATTAGATGGATTTTTTGTTCCTAGTGAGGGGATGCATTGTGATAGAACTGCCTGTAAAAATATATAAGAAATGGAATTGAGCTTTTACCATCATTAAAGTAGCTACTTTAGTAAATTGAAAATAAAATTATGACTTAAGACGAACTGAAAAATTGTTCATTGAAATAACACTGGATTCATTTTTTTTTATCAAAGACAACACAAAATAAACTTCAGTAGCACAAAATAAAATAAATTATTAAATTCCGGGCCTTAGAATAATAACGCATAGAAACCTAGTACGCACACGCTAAGTGAGGTAAATTGAAGCGCGCCCAATGGGCCTACACGAGCGGGCGGGCCGTCAGTGCTCAAGGTCAACTTGCACTGCGAACAGATCAAGAATTTTAGCTAAAAATGACGAAATGTGCTGTAAATGAGTGTAAAAATACGTCAGACAAACATAATATAGATACTAACATCACATTCCACAAGGAAGTAACGCGTTTCAACTTGTATTTTTATATAAATATTGACTAAAACCGAAAATTAACCTACTACTAAAACTAGTCTACATGAATTTGATTTTTGCCTCACTTGTGACAGTTCGTTTGATATGAAACTATCATTCTGTGCGTTATTATTTTAAGTTCCGGGCCTAGTTTTCTCTGCCCAATTTCTGTGGCATATTTTATTATTTAAACAGGTATTTTAGAATGTTATTATCAAGTATTGTTTAATATTCGAGTTATTTAATATTATTTAATATTTCACGTTAATATACTACTCGAAATTTTAAATGATAAAATTGTTAAAATTATCCACAAAAACAATCTAATTAACTAATTAAATACAAAATAATATAAATAATTCTGGTACGTACTGCAACACTAAAACAAATCTTACCTTGAGGACAAAAACGGACACACAAAGTTGAAAAATCAGTTTAAACGCCATTATAATTGTTTATATGTTTCTACGTGCTGTTAAACTTGTGTGGCTTCTTAATTGGTTTATTATAAATTATTTTAGCAACACCACATTTTATACCATTTCTATATCAAATGTCTTAAGTTTAAATTACAAAATTTACTCAACATACTGAAACCTTTACTTACCTACCTAGATAGCGAGTTTGCGTACTTGTTGTGCAATAAATATCAACGATTAAGTCAATAATATTACGTGCATACGGTGTCTAGAATCTAACACGTATTGTTATGTAAATGAATGCGTAACACGGAATTATTTTTCTTAGAAAGCAATATCGGAGGGTATCAGTGTAAATGCACACACTGACACATTTCACGGAACACAGTAAAAACAATAAATAAAATAATGCTGTTTTTTATCGATTTAAATTTTTTCCCGTACTAATACGGTTTTACATTACGGTACATTTTGCTTGGGCCGAATTCATTTTTTTTACAAACGAAATTAAAGCTATTTGAAAAATGTATATCGTATAATATACGTGTTCTGTTTAGTCCAGTTGATATAAAAAAAAAAGTCATTGGTATATTGTAAAGCACCTATTTAATACATCGGCTTTTTTGTAAAATTTCGAGGCAAGTTTGTGTTTTCTTTTCTATCGTGAAAATTTTCTAGTATTTAAGTTTTTATTGTACAGGGTCAAGAGCACGTCAAGCTTGACACTTAAGATTTAAATCCAACTCTATGCCGCTTACGATAAGAACGGTCCAAAGTAAAAAGTGTCAAGCTTGACATGCTCTTGACTGTACCTTACCTGTATATTATGAAAATAAACTAATAATAGTTTAAAAATATATATTATATTTTTTGTGGCATTCTTATTCATTTACCTATTTAAATATTATAAACATGACTAATATTGGGTCAAGGAAAAAGTACGTGCAGTTTTTTCATTAACTTATTAACACATTTTTCTCATATTGTAATTAAACTATATATACATATATGCTGTTTTGATCGATCACATTTTGTCATTTTTCTGGTAAAACAATTATGACATCAGTGTAAAACTTCTGGGATTTCTGGGCGAAAAACTGAACCAATGACTTCCACAGGCCTCTTTTGAAGACAGCTTCACACCGTTAAGAGAGTTCTGTAGAGAGCGAAACAAATGGTAGTGGGACGGGGCAAGGTCCGACCTGTAAGATGGATGCATCAAAACATTCCAGCCAAGCTCTGTAAATTTTTGCCAAATTAATAAAAATGTGTGCATTGTCTTGATGGAAAATAACACCGTTCCTGTTGGCCAACTCTGGCCGCTTTACTTCAATTGCACACTCATTAATCGTACAAGTATCCAGTATGAGGCTTCATTCGCATCACGCGTCTTTTCATTTGTTCAAGTATTGCTTAGGAAATGAAACTATTTTTCCGGATTTAAATCGCGTTAAATCGCGTTTAAATCCCATGGTCACGGTTGAGTCAACCGTGACCTGTAAAGGGCCCGAAACGTCGGTTTGTTTGAAAAAACAAATATACGCGATTTAAATCCGGAAAAATAGTTTCATTTCCTATGTGTAACAATCGCGAAAACCTAAGAACTCGACAAGTATTGCTTATTTGGCAGTAATTGTTTCGGATGGATGTCGGACGGAGATCTAGAGTAGACCCCCAGTTGTTGACAGTAGAGGTGGAAGCAATGGTCTTACCAGGTTGGAGAAGCTCATAATGCACGATTCTCTTCCAGTGCCACCAAACACAAACCATTACCTTGCATGGCGTCAATCCGAATCCGTTGAAGATTTTTTTCCACATTATTGTCATGTGTCAATCACTTTGCATTGCCCGTTATCAATCTCTTCAAAAATGGCTCACTTTCGTTTCGTTACAGCAGCGATTCGCAGGTGTTAATTCAGTCCATAAAATTGTTCACTGTATTTTTTGTTTTTAAGTTCGGTTTCTTCACTCCGTGGGGGAGGTGTGGCGGCTTTAGACGCCGCCTATTATCACCGGCTGGCTGTGGCAGACTCTTTGGACGAGAGTCGCCAAGGAGAGTGTCACACTTGCCGTAAATGTTTGACAGTTTACAGTTACGTAAATGGTCATGTCAGCGATTGCAAATTATTTGCCCGATTTGATAAAAAGCTTTTTGTAAAAACCACGAAACTTTATAATTATATCGCCATTCACGAAGTTCACGAGGCCGTTTTATTGTTCGTTAGGGGAGCGATAAATTCCCCAAAGTTATATTCATGAGGTACCAAAATATCGAGTTTCTATTTGGTGTCCAGCTTTATGCAAATGCCGTAAAACTTTTTTTGGTTAATGTTTAGTTCTGCAGCGATGTCATAAGATGAAATAAAGTCTTCTTGAATTGTTTAAGGGATTCCATCGACTTTTTCAACAATTGGTTGACAAGAGCACGACGCGTCTTTAGCACTGAAATGTGCAGAACGAAAACTAGCAAACCATTTACGAGTTACTGATTTTGATAAAGCGCCGTCACCATAAACACCACAACTTTTTTCACAAGTCTGCGAAGCATTGCCGATTTGATCAAAGTAATGTTGTACAATACAGCGATTTTTTCTGAATATTAGCTCATTTTATAACGCTATTACTTTTGCGCTGAATTGACAAATGTCAATATTATTGACTTGTAATAAATCTACGGATACTCATTTCTACAGCTTGATAGGATCTGTATTAATAAATTTATACATTTCTAAAGTCAACTATTGGTAAAAACGCCAGGTTACCATGCTGGACTGCCACGCGGAGGTCCCGGGTTCGATTAACGGGCCGAGAGAAATATTTGTATGGCCTAGATTTATTTCTCTCGTGAGTTTGGGTGTAATTTGTGGTTGTCTATGTGAATGTTCATCGCTCCTGCGATACAGGGTTTCCGTAGTGCTGAGTGTGTTCGTTATTACTATTTTATATTTTTTTATTTCTTAAATTGCGGTGTACGTATTTCTTAGTTTTTCTTCACAAGTTTAACGAAACGCAATATAAGTACCTATATATTACATTTAAATAAATTAAAATCGAAATAAAGCGGCGTAAGTAAAATGAGTAAAATTTTATTATAAAAAACATTATAAACATTATATTAGGAAAAGTTACGCATTTAAATAGTTATTATAAAAAAGAAACATCGTTCTATGTTCAAAAATTCCTTAGGTACTCTTGGTCTTAGTGGCGGCAATAAAATTAGTGATGTGTTTATTTTTCATTGTGCTTTTATTGTTCATTTTTTTTCTATACATAATCATTAATGCACGGCACGGTAAGTATCCATGGAATTATACAAACTTCCACAATGCATTTGATCAATACCATAATGAAAAAGACTGTATGTATCTCTGTGACCATCCGTACATGATTGAAATTTACCACAAGAACTATTAGTAAACCATTTGCATAAAGCATATATAATGAATGACTGCGATTCTTGTTTTACTATAAAGTAACATATCGATAGTTTTCTAGAATAAAGGCGTATCTCTGAAACATCAGTCTTCACCAGGAAGATGGTTTAATAATCCGAGGGGTTCGAAATTATCAAGTAATTTATTTTCTTCAATAACTATCATGACAATTATCCGATAATAATTATGATAATTACCACAATAATTGTTTTAATATATCTTGATGATAATATTTTTGACACTTATAAAATTTACTCTTCAGGTAATACGACTCTGGAACGCTCTGCCGCCCCATATTCAGAAAGCGCCGAATAAGTTAGCTTTCAAGCAATTATTCCGCGATTTCATGTTGCAGTCTCAACTATATCCCATTAGTTCGCCATTTGTACTGTTTTGTGTGCAATAAAGTTTAAATAAATAAATAAACATTAATTGGAACACAAAAATGTCGTGTCTTGTGTTTGTAACCGAGACTTACCCAAACGTGTTTGAAAAAAAATTTTATAAACATCAGGAATAATTATCCAGATATATATATATATATTCACGATAATTGTCGTGGTACTTATCATAATAATTATCAATCAATTCGAACTTTGATGTCTAACGCGGAAATACTGTCGCTTGGTTGTTTTAGCCAAGGGAAAACTCTGTATCTTTTTCACAATAAAATGTAGCGCATATGGCGAATACGGTTGTGTAATAATTTAAATAATGTATTATTTTAATTTGGGTTTTTTTTCTCGAAAAGCGGCGATATGTTAATTAATTCACTAGCTAAATGTGTACAGTGAAGTAAACAAGTCAAGACTGGCTTAGGTCTTGCATTTTCCTTCGTTCTGGTAGCACCATTCGGGTTGCAAAGAATCTGCTTCCACTCCCATACGGACCAGGCGTTCTCTGCAAATTTAATATAGAATTAATTACGAATCTACTTATTCTGCAAAAAAAAAACAATATATCTACCTAATTATCACTAGTTTTGATTCCCCTGTCATTTCTATGAGTTCACGTTCTATGGTTAAAAATCTAACTCACATATTATAGGTATCCATTCAACTGTAACTACATACTTGGGACTTGTCAACTTATTTTTTTTACGACATCAAGTGGCCACACGACGCGCCTACCCGTAACAGTTGCAGTAGAGCTTTAATTCGCAAAAGACCAGAAAGGCACCACCCTGTCACCCTGAAACTCGAAAAGTCCCACGTGCCTGTAATTTCACCAGAAACCCGAAACACTGTAATACTCTCATTACTGCTTGGTGGCAGAAATAGATATGGTGACAGTAGGCACTTCCCTGAACGAGCTCTTTCACAAAAAACTCTATTGCTACTGCATTTCGTAAAAGCCACGTCCTAAAGCTCCCCGACCATAAGCACAACCATCGGATCGTTGCTTTGGATAAAAATACTAAAATACTCAAAAACTTGGACTCTTTACTTTGAAATGCAATCGTATTAAAAAAATCGAGATCTTTCTAATGAACAAGGTCTTATAACTATCGGACGTGAAATGGCGCGGGAGGCAGGGTAGCATTTACGTATTAAGTATTACTCACGAAGCTGTAGTCGTCAAGACGTCGTCGTTCGTTGAACAGAGTATTAAAACTAAAACAGCATGTGTTCATTATAAGGTAAATGTATTTTAAAAATATTTATTTCTAAAGCGAAGACGATTATTTCAAGGTTTTTTGGGATTTTTTTTCATTGAATTGTTATGATAATCTACAGTATAGAGTGATTTTTCGAGGTATTTTTTACTATGTTCCTCAAATCTTTATCGAATTGAATATTATTCCTTCTTTCATTCAAAGGTATTAAGCATGACTAGTTTAGTTAAAACTTTGAATCACTAATATTTTATGTTCAAAAGGGTTATAACATTATAGACCTCTCGAAACAATATCAGGATTTTGTCAAAACTGCGGAACTGAATAAGAAGTATTCGAAAATACTGTTAAATATTGTAGGCTTTAAATACATACAGGTGAGGAGAACCAAATAATACCGGCTGAAATAATGCTACATCACACCCTGTTCATCTGGCCCAACGATATATGAATCAGTATAACAAACCTGATACTCAGAATCCTGTTCTGTGCCTCAACCCACGTTGTTTCTGGTTCGGCCCAGTATCGCTCGGCGAAGGCAGCCGCTCGTGGCCACAATCGCCCGTCTACGGAGCTCGAGTCCGCTTGTTCCGTCCATAAAGTTATTTCGCCACCTATATAAAAAGTCAAATGTCACGAGTTGAACTCATTTCATCATAATAGACGAGCAAACACGGCCAAAACAGGGCCAATGCAACCCAGCGAACGGGAAAACATCGAAGAGAATTGTAGGTATGCCCTCCACCGCACACTGATAAGGGATATCCATTACGACACCACGAGCGTCAGTACACGTTAACATTATGTCATAACGTTTCATTTATCGTTGGACGTCTATCGCGTCTAGCCTGTTCCCATATCATGACTATCTGTCGTGGACGTTTCTTTTATCGTGGAACGACTGTCCTATTCCCTATTCCCACTAGATCGTGACGACAATTTATCAGTTCACGGCAGCCGCCTTGTCGTCTGCATGACAGAGTCGTTTGAAGCTGCGATTATCTGTCGTCATATTTATATTCTATGTGTAAACAATTTCATTTAAACATACGAGTCACGACACTTTAAACTGCGCGACTATCTGTCGTCATGACATAATGGGAACGCGCCCTAAGACTGCTGCGACATGCCGCTCCGGTCGCTCGGATTTCATTCCGCTACACTAGCGACTATGCAGTCGGAAAGACCCCGGTGTATTCGGGCACACCGGATGACTCCGGATCCCGGCGTATTTATTTATTTATTTATTTATTTATTATAATAATTACATAATAAGTTCACAGCATGAGCCAAAACACTTATATGCTAGTCAAAGAAATGTAATAATAATAATTTATATAATACAATTTATATTATTATTCTGCTTTACATAAATATTCATTTAGGAATAATACGGCATATTTGAAAAATTGCTTCGAACTGTCTCCGAATACGTCGGCACGCGACTGCAGTGCGAGCAATTGGTTAAGCAAAGAGGTCGCCCTAACCGCGGGTGCATGTGCGCCGCTGCAGGTGCGCGACGGAAGAGTCGCGAATAACGGACGTACGCGCCTCTGCAGCGTAGCACCACCACCACGCAGATATCGGTCTGGGACAAACAGACCCATACGAGACACAACTGTCAAGTTGTCAACCCCACCGTTCAAAACCGCATGGTAATGCATTATGAGCATTAGTTTACGCCTCAGTACAAGGCTATCAAATCCGGTCATTCCAAATACGAACATAGAAGGGAACAGATACGCGGCTCCCATCACTATATCCTCTAACGTGATCTCCAATGCCGCAGAGAGAAATGCTCTGCGATGCTCCGAGATGGTCTTAGAGCATTGCAATTTATACTTTATTTCAATTGTAATAGCGTAAAACACACATTGGTAAATTTAAACTCCTCAACATCAGTTTGCGCTGCGCTTACCTCAAGCCCACCCAGGAATCCAAGATCACTTATGAAAATTTAAACCCCGGTGAAGTTTTTTTTTATAAAAAATAAGTGCGCATTTGACTTCCATCTCACCTGATGGAAAGTGATGATGACGGTGGACGACGTAGCATGCACACCTAAGTAATGCTTATTCACTCTCGCATTAAAAAGGTCCAAGTTATAGCGTTCGGGGAATAAGTCCGCAGGTAGGGAATTCCACTCTCTAGCCGCTCGCCATGTAAATGTCGAAGCGAAACACTCCGTGCGAATCCTGAGGATGTCCACACACATAGGGGTGGAATCCCAGCCCACGTCTAATCCCCCAAAGATGAAAAAGGAAAGGCGCAATCAAATTATGCAATTCCATCGCACACTCTCCGTGATATATCCTATAGAATACCGATAAGCAGGCAACTATACGGCGGTGTTCAAGACTCTGCAGCTTCGTCTCCACTAATTCCGAATCACCTATAAGCCTCTTGGCACGCTTTCAATTGAATTCAAGGTGGCCAGTTGGTATTTAGCAGAGACATCCCATAAGTGGCAGCAGTACTCCATACACGACCGGACTTGTGCTTGGTACAGCTGAAGTAACCGTCCAGGTATGAAGTAACGCCTCACCTTGAAAAGGATGCCAAGCTTCCTGGCTGCATTTTTGGCCAAGAATTCAATGTATATGCCGAGGTTCAGATTGGAGGACAGTCCATTCCAAGTAGCTGGAGACGACCGGCTATAGGTATGGACATAAAAATTTATAAAAGTTTATTTCTGTACAGTGCAGGGTCTCACCTTTCCACACATTGCCAAACGACACAAATTTATCTCGAAAGATTTTAAAGTACTTACCTAGGATTTGACTTTTACGATCCCCTGCAACAACAGCAGGACTGCTGTCGTATACTTTCTGCCACCCGATGTACGGGGAGCACCAATTATGACCTACAACAAACAAGATTTATAAACACACAACAAAAGGTACGTTTATTTTCAAAGCATAGAAAACCTGTTTTGGTACTCTCTGTGTAGTATAATACGGTATACTTGACTTTTACACATAGCAAAGAACGGACAGCGTTTTAAAACAGAATAAAAAAGGAAAAATAATTAAATAGAAGGACACTCATAAGGTTTTTTTTTTTAATTTATTGGGGTCAACAACAGTTACACATTATAAATAGTATATAGCTATAACTAACCAATAGTGACTTAATAAGCAACCACAATTTACTTAAATAGTTTTCCGATTTTAGTAAATACTACCTGCGCTCCTAATTCATTGGTGTCACTACACACAAATAATGCCAATATTATATCAGGAGCACATACAGTAGTATAATTATGGAGTACAGTGCCAAAACTTGGTACCTACGTTCTGAACAAATCAGTGTCAAATGTCGACTACTTTTGCAAAATTCACTTTCTTAGTTTTACACTTTCAGAAGTTGCCATTTTGTCGTCAACCTGGAAACGCTGCTCTAAAACTCGTGCAAAATCCATTATTTTGTTCAGTATTTATTATTTTGTCATCCGAGAGGTCCCTTGTGTTAATTTATTAAAAACTTGATCGTCAAACATTTCGGAGACTATTGGTTTACATACGAAATTCTTGAATTCTATACTCATATTATCGAGCAAGTACCTACAATCGAATGTGACCGAAGAAGATGAAATGACAGATAATGAAGGTACATTGATGGTTGACGACGTGGATATAAGAGTCTGAAGGAAAATTAAAATTAGATTCAAGTTGTATTTTTTACTATTATTATAACAAAACTAGCCATGCTATCATAGTGTTGTTGCAAAACTAGCTACGTTAATTCTGAACAATTAATTACAAAACTAGTTATTCTAAGATTACTGTTGCAAAACTCTCTATGTTCAATTGTTAAATGGGAATAAAGTAAAAAGGTTAATATTGTCATTTTGTTTCTTCATGTTGTTTATCTCTTTTTTATCACAATTTTCAGATAATTTAAAAAGTACCAATCAAAAATCCGTTTCCGGAACAATAATTGTTTTTATTTTAGTTTATATAGCTTTTTTTAGCCACGCACATAACGCAGTTTGCTAATGGCCTACTCATATTGTGTATGTGTTGGGATGTATACAACAGCAGATAGCTCTAATAACATTGCTCGTATGGCAGGTACCTGTGCCAACCCAACTGGCGAATCCACAGTCCATGTAGAGAGCGTCGTAATTAGACATGATCAGTCGGTAGCCCAGTTCTAATAGGCCGGTGACTTGCGGGTCGGCTCCAGGTGTCCACATCTGAATTTAGTAAATTAACACACTGTAAGTTGGTGATTAACAGGAAAACTCTGAAACCATGCTTTTGACGATTAATTAATCCTTTCGAACGAGAATCTGATAGTGATAACACATAATCGACAGTAATTCGAAAGATAAGAATCGGTTTCACAGTTCCAGGTTAGGCCTTTGATATTAATAACACAAGTTACTATCGTTTTGACGCTTTATGTCAGAAACGCCAAACGGTCAAAATACATAAATACATTCTGAAATTGCCAAATGTCGCTGCCAGGAACAGGCCCCTCTACTCAACGACGCATGGACCAATGTCCAGTAGTGGACGTCAGTCGTCTGAAATAATTAAGCGACGTTCTGATGTTTTATTTATTTATTAAAAACAAAATGTAGTTTACTTTAACTACTAATAACTGACCTTCCTATCATAAAGAAACCTGCTAACTTTACAGCTTCAAAAACGTGCTTACTTTTGAATTTTGAACAAAAAAAATTACATTAGTTTGTGCGTCAGGAGGAAAGGCTGGCAGCGACATTTGACATTTTGAGAGTCTGGCATTCTACTAATCTGACATTCTGCCCGTTTGGCATTTTGCGTTTCTGGCATAAAGCGTCAAAACGGTTACTATTGGTGTATTAGACAGCATTTAGTTGTATAACTTTCATAAATAGAAAATAATATGGCCAGGATTAAAAGGCAGTCCATGTTGCCATTACCTGAATAATATAGTCTTCTTTTTTCAAATATTTTTCAATCAATGAAGGATTCGTCATCGTGTTACTCCATGTGATGAGCGGAAGCTTCGAACCGACTGCCTGTAACAAAAAATCTTACAATAAAATAAAAAATCAGAGCGTTTTTCAAGGCACGAAAAAGATGGGGTCCAGATGAACGTAAAATTTATACTAGGCAACAACAACATAGCATAACACAGAATATATATAAATGCAGGTATTCTTAACGAGTAGTTAGGTTTTCGCAATTATTACGCATCGGATATGACTCTATTTTTTCGGATCAAAATCGCGGGAAACTAGAGTATTGTGGTATTCGGACGTTCTTAGATATCATAATAACACCTTAGGTCACACAGTATTTAGAAAGAAAACCCATGCAAACAGGTCAATAATAATTCCCACCACCATCTTAGCCAGTTAGCTACCGTGGGCAAATCTTTGTTTCAGAGAGTACATGGCGTCTGTGACAGTCATCTGGTCGAGGTACTTCAGCATATAAAGCAAGCCCTACGTGCAAAGAATTCGAAGATTCTACGCCAATATCACTGATGCCTTGTGAAACCACCAAAAGGACACGATCGGAAGAGTCCTCAGATGTGCGTCTATCAACACCTACTTGAAACTCTTGAGGAAGATATCTCAGGTATCATAAATCTTGATGTTGTTTTATATTTACATACACAATATGATCAATGTCAATCTAAAACTGAACTAGCTTAGATAATTACAAAAAGTAAAATATTTTTTAATGATATTTACAAACAGTTGAAAGTCCACCTGAGGGAATACGATTACCTTGGTGATTTTATCTTCAGCCTTCTTCTGGAAGTACTGCCACAGGTTAAGGAATCCTTCCTTGTCCAAGTTCCACCGACTTTGTACCATAAACTGTTTGATATCATCAGAAGAGTTCCAGCACTTCTCACTCACTTCATCACCTCCAATGTGGAAGATATCCGGTTTAAATATCTCTGTAAAAGTATTATTTTGTATTATCTTCATTTGCATATCTTAGAACCCAACTACCCAAGTTTCTCAATTTAAAAATGACGTTAGTTTCTCATACCGTCCAGTTTTTATTGCATCCTCAGGTTTTCGCGATTTCTGGACATTGGGAATGAAAATATTTTTTCCGGATCTAAGTCAAGTTTATTTGTTATTATTCGGCGGGATTCGAACCAAGTAAACCATGCCAAACGCTATACCAACTAAACTACGTAACGAACCAACGAACCTCGCGAACTTTTTCCTTGTGCCTGTTGCAGTTCTTTGTTTGAGTTTTTAACGACTTTTTTGCCATAGCGCCATCTGTGAGAAATTACATATATTTGTTTTTTTTTTTTTTCAAACTAACCAACGTTTTGAGCTCTTCACAGGTCCCATGATTCCGGCAACAGTCCCAGACTGTCAGTCAGTCGTAGTTTGTTTGCAAAAACAAATAGATCCGGAAAAAATAGTTACATTTCCAAAATTGACAAGTTTTTATATTCAATACATAGTACTAAGGTATCATAAAATACACCGGTATCTTAAATACATACGCACGAAGACGTACCTGCAATGTCTGTATAAAGATCTTCCAAATAATCGTACAGTTCTTCTTTGATCGGATTGAACTGACCGCATGGTGGTTCCACGCAGTATTCGTTCCATGGTTCAACCTGGATAAAGCAAATCATGTTATACAAAATAATCAGAGCTTGTTTCTTCCAAATTGTCGCGTTTATAAAACTTTACAGGCATCATCTGCTCACAAAAACATAACTTTTTCTCGTCTACTATACGGGTAGTAGGTGCTCTCCACTATCGGATATTGTTTATTATAAAAAATCAATAGACCTGAAAAACCTCCCCGCATCACACATGTACCTTTCCGTGTACGTACAGGCCAGTGACGAGGCGTCCATATAACTCGATTCCCACCGGCTTGCCTAAAATTTTCCACGTGTTACCAAAAAAATTTATAAAGCGCGTTTACCCCGCCTCTTAAAAAAACTTATGTTCAAAATATTCAATAATACAGAGTATGACGGATCTCGGCATCTAATAAAAGGGCGCGGTCTATCACGCAAGCCGGTCGGATCCCGGCTTCTATTTCATTCATGAAAACCTAGGCGCTCATATGAAAGTACACACATTTGCAATAGTTCGCTGTAAAACCATAGTAGAATAAAACCTAATAATGGCGGCTGAAAACTCGAAATCCATCTGGTTATATATATGTAGTATCTTGTGTGCTAATAAGTGTCACAAGGCGCCTTTTCAATGGAAAAAGAAGTTATTGTTAAGGTAGATTTTTTTATGTTGGACCGGATTTACTAACGATTATTTTCTCGCTTCACTGGTACAGGCATATACGCCTGGCGCACCCTACGCCGATTGGCAAATTCTTTCACTACGATGGCAAGCATTATAGTGTATGCCATCAATATCGATAATAAGAAGTTTAAAACCCAGGAGGTTTATGATATTAGATTTTTTTTTTATACATGACAGGCAAATGACTCCACTCCACCTGATATTAAGTGGAAAGTGGTATCCAAACGCGAAGGAACCTAGTGCAGCGATGAAACCCTCACTGCACTAGCCACCTCCACCCTGCCTGCCTACAATATGCCTCTTCAAGCCTCGTTTGAAGGACCCCATATCATAAGAGGGAGGGAAGACATGTGCCGGAAGGGAGTTCCATTTGTCAACCGTGCGGCAGAGAAAGGAGCCACCGAACCTTTTAGTACACGATGGAATGCGGCAGGTCGTGAAACGGTGACTACGAAGGCCAGCACGCGTGCTTCTGAGCAGGAACGGGGAAGGGGGGACGAGATTGAACAGCTCTTCAGAGCACTCATCATGGTACATGCATTGTAGCTGTACTATAATTTCCAAAGAGACAGCAACAATTTTGTCCTAATGTCCAAACGGCAGTAAAAGCCCATTTAGACGGAGAGAGTTTCTTGTCTCGAAGATATGATTATCGAGAGAACATAAAAAACTTTCGTCGTCTAAACATTCGCGATTATCACGTGAACACTAATCGCCTTGCCTTTAAATATTGAACGTCTTCGTGTAACCAGAACTTGAAAGCAAAAACTATATTTCGAGATTTTGTGCCAGTCAATCGCTACCATGAGTGCAGTGCGCGAGGGTGTATTGATTTTCTCTGCTTTTTAAGACAAGAATTAATGAAACGAAAACGAAAAAAATGTTGGGCAAAATTGTTACAAAATTAAAATTAAAAAAAGTTATAAAATATAGGTATATATTTCTATAAACTTCAATGAACTTAATATTATTAGCAGTTCCAAGATTTTTGAGCCATTTTAATATATCCATAGTCAATACCGCAGTAATCGCTGAACTAAAATGTTCGGCCCGATTTGTACGATAATCATATGAACTTGAAAAAATGTCCGACAAGATCGAGTTTAGACAAGTCGAGAATTCGTAAGCAAGAATCTCCTTACTATTATATTTCTCTGTGTAAACAATCGAGGAGGCGATTAAGTTGCTTGAGAATCTCGTATGCGAGATTTTAGTTCTTGCCTGTATGTATAAGATTATCGTATCATAATGTTAGATACGATAATCTTATGGCAATTATCATAATTATTGTTTGCGATAGTCACGCACGATTTTACGCCACGAAGCGTGCGATAAAGTCTTTCCATCTAAATGGGCCTTAACAATAGACTGTTACTAGTTTGTTACCTTAAAGCAAACAGTGAGTCCGGTATCCTGCCAGCCCTCGCCGACGTGCGCGGGCGCATCGATCTCGGCCAACACGCGAATGCCTCTCGCATGGGCGTATTCGACTATTTCCTCCATTACCTTCCTTGTGTATACCTTTGGAAATACACTGTGATCAGAAATAAGCTTATAGTAATAAGGCTTAACAAACATTACCTACAAGTTAATAGCTGATTTGATTTAAAACAAACTTCACAGAATAACAAACTAGATTGTTTTATTCGCTTTGCTGTCTTGGTTGCTAAAACGACCTAGCCCGCATCATGCCGTCAAATATCGTAATTCATAATGAAAGGGGATGTAGAACAATCTAGAAGATCAGCAACAGCCAAAGTTCCTGTGTATTAGACCGGTAACTGCGATAGCCATTTCTTATAGGTACATGAGTGGCAATTATGGCCAATCGTCATTCTTGTTTGTTCTTCTCCTAGAGCTTCATATATTTATCACGACTGCCACGATCGGTTCGAGTCTTCCAAATAATTTTAATTTTGATCAGAATTCGTCCAAGGAAGCACTGTCAGCTTACCTATTTCTGCCGCCAAGTAGTAATCTGAGCAATGACGTGTGCCAGTTTTGAAAGGTACCTGCTGGTGAAATGACTGACGCAATGGTAGTGCCCCTCAGACATATTGCTTACCACCAGGTGCACGACTTACTCGTCCCATCATTTAGTATCATAAAAACAAATTACCTTACTGGGAGTGTAAGCTCCAAGTTTGGCGAGATTAGGTCTTCTTTCAGATACGAATGGAAAACTGTGGGAATCGGTAATATGCCAGTGGAATGTGTTCAGCTTCACCACAGCCATGGCATCTGGGAAATAACAGAAATGAAAGGTATTACTTTGTGACGGTGTGACCTCCTTACACCGTCATCTCTCCTCTTTGTATCGCCTCTCTCCGCTTGTATCCTATCATTTTTTATTTTACATGTATTTAAATTTTAAATTTGAATTGTTCCATCTTCCTTCACTTTCTCACTTTTCTTTTTGTTTTCGTACCACAGTCACTCCCAGCTCGACCGCCACAACAGTCGGAGCTGTTCCAAATTCCATCGCGAATAATCGCTAATTTTGATTCTTTACTACGTTTATAATCATTTCATAAGCTAAATCATGTGTAATAATTTATAAGTCTACAGCCTTCGTGTACCTATATCTGTAATTCAGTTACTCGGCCCATTTAGGGGTAAGTGCCTTAATAATAAAGTGTAGGGAGTGTTTTATACTGTTGTACCTGTTTTTTTACATTTACCTTTTTATTGTTAAAGCCCTTTCTTTAAGCTTTACTTCTTTAATAAATTTTGTGGACCGGAAGTTTCCTGTTTCATTGCCGTGAACCTGTTCACGGCTAGTTAAGGTTACAACCCTTTCAACTTTATGTAATTAAACTTTTTAAATGTCTTAATGTTACAAGGTCAAGATTATGCCAAGCTGGACACTTAAGAAGTAAATTAAAATCTGTGCCGCTTGCTATATGTGCTGATGATTATGATGTGTTCGAAACCAGTGGCAAACCACATATCAACAGTACAGTGACAGAGATTTCATTTGAGAGCTAATTTTTTCGAACTTAAACTTTGTATAATTATTAACACAAAGATCGAACATAAAGAAAGCAGAGTCTAATTTAGGTGTGACGAACGACCGCAGCGAAACGTCCGTTAGATTCGAAAGCGAACGGGCCACGGAACAGTGGCAGTCATTTAGTTAAAAGTACCTACAGAAAAGATTTGCTTGATTTTATGACGATCGATATACAAAAAATGCGATATGATCGTCTGTTTCGTACACATTTACTCGACTTTGTCTGGCCACACATGTTGATTGACAAAAAATACGATGTCGATTGTCTGTTTCTTACATATTTACTCGAGTTTATCTCATCACCGTGTTGATCGACAAAAATCACGATGTCGATCATCTGTTGCTTAGAAGTTTACTCGTTTTGTTTGACCACACGTGTCGATCGTCAAAAAATCGAGCAAATCTGTACACACCTTAAGGAAAATAATAACAAAATATGGTTTTTATACCAAAAAGTTATTAATTGCACGTTAAAATTCAACTTAGAAAACTGTTACTTTCGAGTTGTTACTTGAGTCGAGCGAGCGAAGTGAGCGTGACTCGGCTGCGGCCAGCGAAATACCAATACAGAATTTCGATAGGCATGATCACTTTTTGCTATGAAAACCATATTCACTAACAAGTATATTTGCTAATTTATTAACTTAGGTGCTTCAACTATGTACTTGTAAAAACAAAACAACATATTATTAAATTCAGTATACTGGTAATACGTACAAAGTATCAATTCATTAATTCATTACATCCATAGCCAAACATTACATCATTTTGTTACACTGAATGTTTATTTTACACAATGAAATTATGCCGTTTCGTTGTTATACCACTTATTAATTATAATAATATCCCATGGTAATTAAATTAAATATCGTTAGGTCTACCAAGTGCAATACAAAACCGTTTTATAAATATTACTGTTCTATTAATTGAAATTTATCGTAGCAATTAAGTTTTGTTCTTATATATCTTCCCCTTTGTTTCGTTTCATCACAGATTACTTAATAGTTACTACGTAATAGATATAAAACTCTCATACAAAACCGGAAATACCTACGCTTTAATAGCCTACTAAATATGGAGCTGCGTCGTCAGTACCACCGAGACGAGTTGATCAGTGCGACGAGGACGGCTTTCGGAAGGTGGAAAAGAAAAAGAAGAACACCAGCCGAAACCTTAGTGGCACCGCCCTGACTGGCCCGAATCATTTATTGCGTCCAGCGGTACCGACGACGTTGTTATACGTGTCGCGTCTTCATTACTCCACCAAGTCTGCGGATATTGTGGAGTACATGCGAGTGAAGGCCAACGCAAACCTGAGGGTCGAGCGGTTGGAGTCGCGCCACAATGTGAATTTTAATTCATTTGTGGTGAGAGTACCAACTCAACACCTGTCGACCTTCATGAGAGAAGACTTTTGGCCGAAGGGTGTCATGTACCGGCGTTTCCGAGGACGGCTACCGGACACCCACGTTGCGTCACACGTCGAAGTACATACGTGTAAATAAATAGTGTTATATGTATATTATCATGTTATATTGTATTTATGATTAGTCCGTAAGGTATTTATTTAATATTTCTGTTATTGTTTTATTGTATTATTGTTATGTTATATGTATGTTAGTCTGTAAGGTATGTATCTATGGGTCCTAGTTGCCTGAAATAAATAAATAAATTAAAAAAAATATGACTAATAAGACCAGACGCTCACTACGAGGAAAAAGAAACCTAAGCACGCGCTCAGAGGGGTGAAAATAACGTTGCCCGCCGTGGCAGTCGTGCGGAACCGATTAAATGAAAGACTTGTCTGAGCGCTTGCACTGACGACGATACACCCATCGGTAGGCACTCATCGCGTAACCTCGAACGAGTGACAGACCCCTGGTTTCGTGAGCAAACAAAATCAACTGCACCTACTTACCAATAGTTTTCTTAATCTTATCTACTGTGACATAATTCCTCGATGTATCTAAGTGAAGACCTCTGTAGGGGTATGCTGGTTTATCGTTTATCGTAACATCCCTTACAATCTGGAAGAAACAACAATAATATAAACAATAATATATCAAGGAGAGTGTGCGATTAGATGATTTAATTCCGCCTTCCCCTTTCCATCACCGGGGGACTAGGCGTAGACTTGGGTTCCACCCGTATATTGTGGATATTCCAAAGATTCGTACGAAACGTTACACTTCCACATTTATATGGCGAACGGCGATGAAGTGGAATTCCTTGCCTGCAGACTTGTTCCTTAAAAGTTATAACTTGGGGCTTTTCCAGACGAGAGTAAATAGGCATTATTTAGGTGGCATGTTCTACATTCTATTAAAAAAGTCATATAAAGAACATTGAATTATATATTTATAGTAGTGTTATGCTACACTGTGTAATAACGCCACATCTGTAAATTTACAACTTTTCAAGAAAGAGGCTTAAAGATTCTACGAACGAAAATAGTCGTTAATTTTTTTATGCTTAAATACGAAAGTTATAAAATTTCACGTGTACATAATTTGTTTCATTTAATTCGTATTATTTTTACGACTTGCATAAATTGGAACACATAAATTGACGACTTGCGCAACTCGGTGGCGCAACGGTTTGCACTGTGGACGTTGAACAGGATTCGATTCCCGGTAGGACCAATTTAGGACAAGAACTTTTTCAATTCGGTTCTGGTCTGGGTGTTCTGGGTAGTGCCTAGGAGTGACTTCCTCTGCTCTGGTACTTACAATACAGGGAATTCCCTAGTTTGGGCCCAGTTGGTTGGTGTGGTTGGCTTGTACCTAATTGTAATTCTTTATTTGGGTTTCTTAGGCTTCTAGTAGTCAGTTATATCCTTTGCTATTGTAAATTTTGATAGATTTAGTTTTTCTTACT